GCATCTCAGAAGCCTCACAGGGACTCTGGAGACCTTTCCAATAGGGCATTGAATAGACTAAGCATGTGTTAGATCAAATATGTATACAAAACTAAAGAAGAATAAATGATGCTGGATATACCGCTGCCCATGTGGATAGAAGAACAAATGAAAGGCTTTACAGGGGAAGAGCCTACTCAGGAGGAGCTTTTCTGACCTTGCTTGACTGAAGGGAGTATTTTGGGTGTAGGTACTGCAAAAACTAAAAGCAGAATGAACAAAATGCAGGGTAAAGTAATTAAATAAATAATGAGACATGAAAATGATTGAAAAAATGGGATGAATTTGAAAAAGAGCACGTATTTCAGTGTAACAACTGGTCTCCACAGCAGTTATCATCCCTGTATTGGCAAAGTTACTCTTTTTTTTCCCCATAGAGACACTGCAAGTAGAAGTGAAGCAAAAGGAGGCCTTGTTTCTCCTGGCATCACTTTCCTGAATGACATCTTTTGTCTAGTGGGAGTTTTGCCAACATAGCAGAACTTCTGGGGAACATAACTGGTTTCATATTCATCCCTGGAAGCAAACTTTTGTTGTGTGGATTTGGCCTGGGACATTGTTTTTTTTGTTTTTTTTGTTTTTTTTCTCATCTGGACAAGCTGGGCAAAAATAAGGCACTCATCCTAAATGCCTTATTCAGGCTTGAAGGCAGCTGGTGTCTTAAAACCTAAGCCTTTGTTATTCCCATAAACTTTCTTCCAAGAAAATTGACTGTAATTTTTGAACTAGAACCAGCATCAGAAACTATAGTGATTTGCATTTCTGTCAGACCTCTCATCAAGAAGAACTGTTTATTATAGACTGTTGTATTAGCTGATTTACCACTTACAGGTCGAACACTGAGGTTTTAGAACAAGGCTTCAGTTGGTTAACAGGTAGCTTTTTGCTGATATCAACACTGTGAGCTGAGCCCTTCAGTGCCCATTCTGAACCCTACAGAAGAATACAGCCATGTGATTCAACATGTAGGTTATTTGTCCACCACTTATAACTCTTGCATTTCATCTATATAAGAATAACGTTGTCCACAGTATCTGCCAAGGGGAAAACAGTACAGGATATATGTGAAACTGCAAAATTAATATTGGTACAGATTATGTAGTTGCCTGCACTAAACTGAATTGGAACACCAGACCTGCCCATCTCTTCTTGTGGACAGTGCCACCTTCTCTGCTTTAGGAATAGCACACAGAAGTAAAGGCCCCTGTAAACTATAAAATCAATGCAAAATGGACCAAGTGAAATGACTATATAATCCATACAGAGAGCTCTAGATGTTTTTTTGAAGTATCTTACTGCTGACCTTAAAAAAGCATGTAGTGGATGAAACAGATCAGTTGGGTTGGAGTGAATCTGGGCTTGGAAGCTAGGAACAGGTGCAGCTTCCAGGAGAGCAGTGCTGTGCCCCTGGTGGTCACCGATGCTGGCTCTCCAGCATTCATTAAAGGAAAGGAAAATGTCACCATTAGTACGTATTCAAGTCTTCAAATGCATAAGGTGGCACCATTGACAAAGAAGCAGACATTTTTCTGCTAGAGAAAATAACAATTAAAGGGGATGTTTATCCTGTCGGACTATATTCCCCAAAGGGACTGTTGTAAAAAAAAAAAAAGGTAGAAAAAGTTCAAATCTGTGTATTTACTGAATACTTTCTTGCATTCTTATTTTTCCTCCTCAGGTCTATGGTAGGTGGAAAGGTTACAGTGAGTTCTATACAGTGCTCAGGTGTAAATATCGATCATGTTGCCCACTGTAGTGGTCAGAGTAAACAAGTAAGTTAGATCAACATTTACTTGGTATGCAGTGTGGGACACAGTTAAACAGGGTGTAATTTAGACACAGGCTTAAAACAGTGAAAAAAATCTTCTGTCACTCTTCTCCCTATTAAGATCTGATGCTTTTTGTGATTTATAATGTATCCCTGATCCCCAGTTCCACATCCGTCACAAAGGGGAGTCCTCTGCAGAGAGCAGCAGCTGCCTACTGCTGTTTTTGAAATGAATGACTAACAGAAAAGTAGTTAATTACTCTGAAAAGGAGAGGGACACTATTTAAGAAAATGGCTTATGTAAAGGGTGTTTCTTATAGACGTCTTTGCTGTCATCATTAATATCACTGGACTGAGGGGTGGTGACTTGTCCGTTTCCATGGGCAACCTGTTCCAATGCTTGCCTTCTTTCTGAGAAGAAATGTCTCCTAATTGTTTTAATTGTTGAAGAGTAGTGCTCTTTGTTCAATTCTTTGTTTTAATTGTTGAAGAGTAGGAACATGATATTTCCCTTTTTCCACTCACCAGGGACATCGCCTGACTGCCAGTTTTCAACTATGATGGAGAGGGGCTTGGCAACTACATCAGCTAGTTGCCTCAGGACCCTGGGATTCATGTCATCAGGTCCCATAGACTTGTACCTGTTTAGATTCATCAGGTGGTCTCAAACCTGCTCTTCACTTATGGTGGGTAGGACTTTGCTCCCCCAGCCTCCATGTATGGGTTCAGGGAAATGAAAGACTTGGGAAGCCCGTCTATCAGTGCAGACGGAGGCAAAGAAGTTGTTGAGTACCTCAGCCTTCTCCATGTCTGTCGTTACCAATTACTCAGATATAGAAATTCACTACTAATATAAGAAATTAGTCAACTATAATTGCTTACGCACTACTATTTTCACCCCTAAGTCTATTTTCAAAGATGTTAAAGGTGCATGGTGGCCCTCGGGACTCCTCCTGTCACCCCAGCACAGCAGCCTGGGTCCTCTCTTGTGCTCTCCCTTGAGGCTCTGTGCAGAAGGGATGCCACCTCTCGCACAAGGGCTGGGAGATGGGAAAGAAGCACTCACACAACCCCTGAGAGTCGGCAACAGAGTTCTTTATTGCCAGGACACCTTGCAGGTGAGCCTGTGGGATGTCCATGGTGTTTGGTGGCTCCAAGCTAATGCTTGTGATGGAGCCTGCAGGATGAGTAGGGAGCTCACCGGGCACTCCTGAGATGCTGTTGGTGCACTCGGATGGCAGAGAGTGAAGACATGCCAGGGTAGCTGCAGGCCTGATCTGGCCGAGGTGGATCCACTTCCATGGGTTCCTCCGCATCTTCTGGAGGATCCACTCCATGGGCTTTACAGTGTTTGGCAGAAGGACAAGCCAGTCCTTGCCCGGGACTGCCCAAATGGGATGCCTTCAGGAGTGTTTTCAGGCCAGGGTGCCGAACCAGGAGGTAGTCTAATTCCACCCCTAGGCCCCATGCCACTGTCAGGTTTATTTCTATGCATGGGTCTGATGCTGCTGTCTGCTTTACAGCCATGGCTGGGTCCCACGCTGCGTGCCGGACTACGGGCATGCCTCTGCTCCACCCAGCTGTATGCCTGACACTCCTGCCTTCACCCCACACAACTGTTGTGCCATGGGGAAGGCCCAGGCCCCCTGTCACTGTATGGCTGAGGGGGCAGCCTGTTCCCTGCGTCATTGCGGTGCCAGTGGTACCACCTGTAAGTGTCTGTGAGCTGCGCGACAGAGGTTCCCTGAGCACTGGTGTCAGTTGTGCTGCAGGCGCCATCCTTCTGCCCATGACACATCTCCTTCTTGTTAGGTGCCTTCATGATTATGTCCCTGGGGAGCCTGTTCCAGTGTGCGACAACCCTCTCAGTGAAGAACCCCTTCCTGATATCCAGCCTGAATCTCCCTTGTCGCAGCTTGACACCATTCCTATGGGTCTATTACTGGTCACTAAAGAGAACAGATCAGCTCCTGCCCCTCCACTCCCCCTCGTGAGGAAGTTGTAGACCACGATGAGGTCTCCCCTCAGCCTCCTCTTTTCCAGGCTGAACAGGCTAAGTGATCTCAGCTGCTCTTCATCTGTCTTCCCCTGTGGGCCCTCTGCCATTTAGTGGCCAAGGAAAGGTTGAACCTGGTGTGTAGGGACATGGTTTAGTGGGTGACATTGGTAGTAGAGTGATGGTTGGACCAGATGATCTCAAAGGTGTTTTTCAAACTTAATGTTTCTATGTTTCTGTGACTGGACTGACAGCTGCTTAAGGCAAGTGTAGGTGGGAGACAAACAATGTATGTGCCTCAAAGCACATTAGTTAATAAAGCTTTTGTTACACCTTGATTCATTGTCTAGTTTGGAGTCAAGACTAGTTATTAAACATTTCAGAGAGAGAAAGGATTGCTATGACAACAAAGTATGAATAATTCATCTGGAGGGGAAAGGGGACATGTAATAACAGAACAATTGCCAAAATTTGTCTTAAAGGATTTGTGTGCATCAAAAAAAGATAATAAAAAGGAAGAGTTTCAATCTATGCTATCTTGCTAACTGCAGCTTAGAAAGCATTTGTCATCATTGGTGGCTTGCAGTATACAAATTAGAGTACAAAATCTGAAGTGTCTTAAGACTTATAAATAGAGAGCAGGGGCACATAAGGACAGTCAGGAAGCATCTCTGGACATGGAAGTTTTGGGTGTCTGAACCTGGTTAAAATTTTAGACTTTTTTTCATCACAGATGTTGAGCCACAGAAGTCACTGACATGACCCAGGATGATGTAAAATACTGTGAAACAATTTTCTTTTGATTATACGATCTGTTTCTCTGAGCAGTTTCTAGTCTGTCACAGAAGAATTTAAAGAAAGTGGGAAAAAAAGTAGTTTTAATGCGAGAATGAAAGTGGGTTCTGCATCTTCATTACTTTATAGTTCGTATCCTTGAAATCCCTTACCAAAAAGGCTTTTGCCTTGCATTCATTTGGATTTTCTTAACATTTGGCTTGTGCATTTTTTAACAAAAAATGACAAATCTTACTAATTAACTTTTAAAAAAAACTGGTTTACTTTTTCTTTAAAGTAAATATAGCACTCCAAAAAGGAATTAAATACTAACCGTCCAAAATGCTACCCTAGGCTAATGTGCAAAAGCAATCCATGTAGACAGCAGCAACTGAAGTTTTTCTGGCCTGCTTCTCTTCCTCCAGATCTGAATGTGCAGTATGTGAGACTGATCACAATGTTACTTCAAGCCTTTGCATCTCTTCTGAGACCAGAGAGAGGTGTGTACCAGTTGTTACCATGTTTCACACACAGGGCAACATGAATATGATCAGGATGATGTAAGAAACAGTCTATAAGCTTGTAAAAGAACTGTAGAAGTAATGGAAATTCATCTGCTGTTTTGAAGACAGCAGTATATGAAGGGGGTGGGATAGGATGATATTTTTTTTCAGTAGAAATTAGCTCTAAAATATTAAACTATAAGCCTCCTCCATGTCTCTGATTAAATAAATAATTAAAATAGAATATTATAGATTAGAGACTTTAAAATTGCATTTGTATAGCTTGAAGTGGATTTGAGTGATAACACAAATGGGTGATTAGTTTAATAAATTTTGATATCTGGTAATGTTTTGAGAAAATTAATTAAGGTAGCCATTCTCCTACAGTATAAAAGCTGGTTACTGTGGCTGCATTGCTGCGTTATTATACTCATAAAAATGTCCTTAGGATTTTTAGCATGTGAATTAACTATACACTTCTAGCAGCAAAACTGATGAGAAAGAAGGTCAGAACTCCTTTATCTGCTAAATGATCCAGGCACTGAAATAGATCTACACAATGGGCCTGAAAAATCAACTTTGTAGAAAGCCTTTAAGCTTATATTCATGACTTCTAATAGATCAATGTTTCTCTCTCTCTCTCTCTTTTTTTTTTTTTTCCAATGTGAACTCATAGAAGCTAATGTGACTCATTCCTGAGAAGCTCAAAATACTCATATTTAAAAGTCAGATGCAGACTTACTACAGCGGTGCATTCCAGAAGTAAGTTAAGCTTTGCCTGCCTCGATGTGGCGTTTTATGTACATTGTGTTAACCACATTTTTCCTTCACTTTTTTCCCTCATATTTTGAAATTTGTTCAAAAAAACCAACAAAACATAGACTTTTTCCCCTTCTCCTTTAACATTTCCACACATTACCTTTCCTTTCTCCCTTGTACACTAGCTTTTATATGCTCTTGAATTCTCTAATGATGAATTCATCAGGCAAAGTTAGGTTTCATTAAAGAATAAAAGAAAAAAAAAAATCTGAGAAGTCTTTTCCACTTGCAAGATGAGCCTGCCTGAGATCAGGAGTAAGCTGATGCCAGAGTGTCTGCCTGAGCCTATAGTCACTGCAGGGGTGTGAAGCAAAGTATTTCGGATTGTGATGAGGCAGTCTAACAGGGTTATCTGGCCAGTGAATTGAACTCCAGTTGGCTATGGAGTTCACAAAACTTCATTTATGATATGGGAGACTCAAGAATTGTTCACATAACAAGATCAGTGTCGGAGCTGCAATTTCTTCGCTCTTTTGTGGAGGCTCAGAGAAAGGTAAAATGATATTACAGAAAGTAAGTGCATTTTTGCAGCACCTGATGTAAGACAGAAGTGCCATCTGGGCACAGACTGAAGGAGGGTCACTGTATGGTTAGGTTCCTCTAGGATGGAGTTGTAAACTACAATTAGACCATCTGTGTGTTTCAATAGCTACATAGATATTACAGATAGTAGCAGAAATTTGAAACGGGATCTTCTTTTTTTTTTTTTTTTTTTCTTTTTTTTCTTTTTTTTTTTCTCTCCTCTCTGTTTTGCCTCTGTGCCTTTAATGAGGAATTTGCTTGCTGGTGGAGTTACAATCACCTAATCACTTTCCTGATTCCAGCCTTCCTGAATCCCCAAAATGACAATTACCTCTCTGGGAACCTTTGTTACTACAGATTTACAATTCCTAGTTTCTGTTGGGAGCAGAAATGCAAGTGTCAAAATGTAAGAGAAAGCTCACTCTAGGGCTGTTTCTGAGCTCAAGGAAGGTGTAAAACTCACACATTTCAATAAGCTGTGAAGGAAAACAACCTATTTGCAAAATGACCAGAAACAGGGAAATGTAAAATTGAACAAGATGTGCTGACTTAATGATATTTCCAGCCCTTTCCTGCTGTCAAAATATTTTGATAGTTCAGTGCAGCATTAGAACATCATCAGGGAATTTGAAGCCAATATCAAACATCTTTGGTTTATTCACTGGTTCTTTGGAAGTACCGTTGATCTATAGGATTGCTTTATGGGAAGAAATCAGGAAAAAAAAAGTGTCAATTCCCTTTTTGATGTGTTAACTCTAAATGATGTCTGTCAACATTGCAAGTAATGCCATGTAATTTTGTAGAAGCCTGATAAAAATGTCCTGTGAAACTTCAACCTTGAGTAATGAAACAAGTGTCCTGTTCTCTCTTTTTTCTTCGTATCCTCTTAAATTCAGGGGAATCTTCCTGTCTGTTGTGAAGTAGCTGCTGCTTTTTTTTTTTTTTCTTCAAATGTGGATTACAGTCACCCACAGTATATTTTCAGTTCACTTTTTTTCTCTCTAATTGGAGACTTCAATAAGGTTGATCATAGATACCTATTAGGCTCCTAAATAAAAGGCTTAACTCTGCATCAATGTGAACATCTAGCAATTTCTATTAATGTCCATTAAACTAAGAGTATTCATCGCTTAATCCATCATTTATTAATTTGGTTCAATCTTACTTAGGAATACAGATCTACTCATGTATCCATTTTTTTATCTGAAGCACTGTTTAGAATTCTTGTTTCTGGTCAGTGGGGTTGTTTTTTTTTTGTTGTTTTTTTTTGTTTTGTTTTTTTGTTTGTTTTGTTTGTTTTTTGGTGTGTGTTATTTTTTCTTCAGAAGTAAATAAGCTGCAAACTGAAGGAAAAATAAAAAAGCTTTTTCTAGCTATAAAGGAGAAAACAACAAAATGATGACTACAATGAACTTGATTAAAGGAATGGTAGAAAACCAGAAAGGTTGCAAGGTTTGTGAGTATAAAAGAAGGAAAAGATTAAAATAAGGAATGAGGCTCATGACCTCAGAACTTGTGGTGCCCTTATCAGTGTTCAGTCCTCTGGGGAGCAGAGATGCATTGGACCATTGGACTAAAATGTGGTAAACAGCCTATAAAGAGAGGTGGGAACAATTCAGAGTTGAATTTACATGGGAATTAAAACAAATATATAAATATTTGGTTGGAAGAAACTGATAATTCCATATAAATACATAAAGATTACTAATGCTAGGAAATGAATTAGTTGGCCTCTGTTACAAAACAACAACATAGAAAGCAATGAGCATATAAAAGGGGAAAAACAGATTTAAATTTTAGAAAGGTGCTAATGAAGGGAAAGGACAAATGGACCAGGAGGCACTTTGCCCAAAGTAGTATGAGGCATCATTTCTGGACCCCTGGGTTCTGCCTAAGACAGCCATGAGTGGCGAGGGGCTAGAGATCTGGGTCAGCTACCAGGACACATGATCCATGTGTCAGCACAGGCTTTGCCACCTCATTCTTTGAAAGAAACTCACAGCTATGTTGCATATCTGGAATAGAGAGGATTTCTCAAGATACGTGCCTTAGTTCCTCAAAATAACAGAGAATTTGTTCAGTGACATTCAAAAATCTTCCAACCTTCTTCTGTTGGGAAGTCAAACAATTGCAGAGCTAAGTCCTCTGAGGGGGAGATGGGGCAGGACCAACTCTGGGCAAACTGCAGCAGCTGTTGACATCCTGTGCAGTGTCAATAGGAAACTCATTTGCCATGAATTACAAGAAGCACAACTGGAAGAAGAGCAAGGTGTTTTTCAAAATCATGCACTGACCAGAGAGAAGCATAAGCAAACACGCTTCCCAACCATTGATTAGTAAGTGCTCTGTGAATGGATCAGTTTTTCTGTGAATATATTTTCACATTTAAGAGTAAATTCAGATTTAATGGCTTTGTTTGCAAACCATTTGTGTCTAAATTTCACAATCATTTGAGTGCTTGAGGTCTTCTGTTACTGTGTAAGGCAAACGTCAGGCTGAAATGCACAAATATTTACGGAGATATTACTTCATGTAGTGTAAAATTTCCTATTTAGATTTTGAGCTGGTTTGAAGAATTACATAAATCATCCAGAAACAAAGAGGTTGACCTATGTAGCAAAGCAACAGAGTGTGAACTTCGGATGGGTAATCAGTAGAACAAACAGTTTGCAAGTGCTGTGTGGACCAAGAACAAATTTGCTGATGGTATTCCTGTGTAATCTCAAGCTATTTAATCTGAGATTTTCCTAGTCTGGGTGAGGACAGATTTTCAGTGAAGGGAATGAGTGCATGTTTGGAAATACTTCTAGTAATTTATCTGTTAGCTCATGTCTGCAAGTATACAGGGTGACATTCTACTGATATATCCTACTGGATTGCAATAGTTGTCTATGTCTTTGGAGATATTCAAAACTTCACTGAGAAAGGTCCTGGGAAACCTGCTCTAACTGATCTGTTTGATCTGTAGTGGACTAGATGACCTTCAACATCAGCACCATTATCTGTTCTTCAGTTCCTCCCTTTGTTGCCATGTTTAACTTAATTGCATCAGATTCTTTGCTAATGAAAATCTGTACATCTTTGCTTCTGTGCAACAAAGGCAGATCAGATCATGGACTGTATCTGCTGGTCCATTGCTAGCAGTCAGAAATCTAGTCATCCCACGTTACTCAGTACGTGTCAGGCTGTACCTGGAGTACTGTGTCCAGTTCTGATCACCACAATTCAAAAAAGAAGTGCACAGACTGGATTTGGACACAAATACAATTGAATTGGGGAAAGTCTGAAGGAGTTATAGCCTTTCAGCCTGGGGAAGAAAAGGGGGTATCTCATCACAGTTTTCCAGTACTTACAGGATGGATACAAAGAGGATGGGGGCTCTCTCTTCACAAGTAGCTACACGGACAAGACAAGGGGCAGCAGGTACCAGTTCCACTGGGAAAGGTTTCAGTGTGATCTGTGAAAGATATATTCTCGTTTTTTGCAGAGAGAGCAATCAATCACTGGAACAACCTCAGTATGGATGTGGTAGAATCCCCATCACTGGAAGTTTTCAATATACTTGTGGATAGGGTGCTAGATAATCTAGATAATCATCTAGGCACTCTTTTGCATAAAAGGTTCAACCAGGTGATCTTTTGAAGAACCTTCCAACCTTCACTGTTCTATGTTTCTATGATCTCTAGTCAAATCTGGTAGAGCTACTCCAATGTTAAACCAGAGAAGAATTGTTGTCCTGAATGGAAAACCCCTGAAAATAAAGTCTGTGGAGTCTGAACCAGCATTGACCATGATTTTGCACAGTCCCCGCTGTGGACCTAGCACTGTATCTGCTGCCATTTTAAACTGATGATGCTCCCATATTGCACAGGTGCAACACTAATGACCAAGCACGGGTGATAATGGTGGTCCCCCCACTACAATGTCACATTCTCCTGCTGGGCATAGGAGGTCAATGGAAGATTTAGCTGACTTTTTAGTGTAACTCCAGCTAATGCCCAAACAAGACTGGATTGTATCTATAGCACACATTCAGTTGAAATACGCTTTACTTCAGGACATACAAACCTAGCCATCAATCTGGTCTTTCTAGTCATTTTTTACAGGCACAAGCTGAGTTCTTGTTATTTTAATTGTTGTTATTGCAGAAATCTCCTAAGTCATTTTGCCATTTGCCCACTTAAAAAAAAGCCATAACCAGAGAGGGGAAATCAGACAAAATGACACATTAATCATGGCCACTCTTGTACATTTTAAAATTGTGCTGCTATGTCATGCTTAACAAAGCTTGCTGCAAGCTAATAAAGGGCTACAAAAGAGCTACTTGAGTTAGCTGATCCTTAAAAAAAAAAAAAAAAAAGCAAGATTTTTAAAGAGGGGAAAGAAAAAGAATTAGCTTTTTAATATCCTGCTTGCATTATGGTACGTGCATCTATCAAAAGAAGAGAGAGGCAACTTAAATCTTGGCAAGTAGAAACAAAGTCATAGATGTCCTACTGTGATTTTAATTCAGTGTATAAATATCTAAGAGGGAGAAAAGAGAGCTTAGAGGTAATTTAGAGGTACCAAGATATTGGTACTGTATTCAATGGTTAGCATTGTAGGAAATGATTAGAAGGTAAACCAAAGGAAAGTCAATAAAGAGGAGCAAAAATATTTTGTTTTACCAAATGGTATTATCTACATTCATGGTCTAAGTGCTATTCCAGATCTGTTTACAAAAATACAGTTGTTAGGACTGGAATACTAGACATTTTTAAATGCTGTGCCGTATCACAATTTAATCCACTGTTTCATACTCACCAGACAAAAGGTTTAATGAACTGAATATGTAGAAGAGTGGGAGTGGTGGCCTAAATAGTCAGGTAAGTAAGGTCAGGTAAGTAAGGTACTACTTTTCTCTTCCTTCCCAAACAGAATTTCTGTGATTTTATTTTCTGTACCAGGATTCAGATTCAGTGTTTGAGACTGTTATTAACAACAAAACAGAACAAAATAAAACAACAACAACAACAACAAAAAGTCATATTGCATCTCTGGCTAAAAGTTGCGTCATCTCAGTGTGCCATTAAATAGACTAGATTCCTGACTTTCTGTTTCAAGCAACTCAGTTTAAAATGTGAAAATAATATTACTGGAAAAGCACCATTATAGTCCATATATCTTCTAGTATAAAGCCTAAATCAAAGCTCAAGGGATCTCAGACAGTTACTCCTATCAGACATCTCTTGGAGACTGAATTCTAACTCATCTGTTGACGTGGATTCTGGGTCATCACTATTAAACTTCTGCTTGCAAAGCGTCTTTAAGATACCATGAGTGAGATATGTTGTATAAAACCAAAGCCTGCTTTTCTCTACTAAGATATCATGGGTTTTGTAAGGTGAAAAGAGGTATATAATTTTGCTCTGCTGCCAGTATAGACAGCTTGGTGAAAAATCAGGACTGTGAATATAGTCAGGTTATACTAAGATTCCCCTATATTTCCCTAGAGCAGGACATGTGTATCAGAAAGATCTTTAGAGAAGAAAAAAAAATAAATAAATGAAAAAGCTTGTAAGGTGAAAGCTTTGATCTCAGGTGGGGGCGTGTGTGTTGTTAATGACTTTTACATTGTTCACAATAATAACTATGAGCACCCTACAGAAGGGAGCACTTTTCTGTAGTTATTTAAAGAATTGCTCTCTTCTACCATTAGTTTTAATTGCAGTCTACAAAATCACAAGCCATTTTGGATATATTAATGGACATTTATCTGAGCAAGGACCTTAAACAGTGAGATTATCTTAAAACCAGTAAGAGAAAAGAAGCAATAGAGACTTTGGCTTTTTTATTTTATTTTAATTTTTAACTTTGAAAGAAGGCAAAAATATTTCAACATGTTTGAAGGGGGTACCCACACTAGAGAAGCCACAACACAGGAGAAAAATAGATAAAGTGATAAGAACTAGTTGTGTTTCAATGGCAGGAACAAAAGAGAGCCACAATGATGAAAAATTATACTGCCAGCTTTTTCAGAGCATTCTCCAATTTCTAAACCAGGAAATTATGGGAAGATTAATAGTACCTTCCAAGCTGATCTTCAGGAAAACTCACAGCAGTTCAGCAGTGAGGGGAACTATTCTTAGCTCACAGCTTGGTTATACATGATTGTTAAGGAGGGCACAATGTGGCAATAGTCTCTTTCTAGTTCCCAGTGACGGGCTTCAGTCTGGTCAAATGCATGTTATGTCAGTTTAGAGAGATTCTCCAAGAGGTGGAAATTCTGAGTGAGCACAGAAACCAAGCTGCTTGACACAGCCTCAATATACATTGTTGTGCTCCATCTCAAGGGTCTTCTATCAGAAGGTACAGGAAAGAGTTGCTTACCTGTAAAGTGTTTCTTACCTGTAAAGTGTTGTCAGTATGATTTCAAAATCCTGAAATGGAATGACCTGTTTAAGTTCTAAGCAGTCTTTTTGTTTGTATGTAACTATTTATAATCATATCCAGTTTGTTCTGTACATGCACATATGGCAGTGCCCATTGAGAAGTCATTATCTCCCCATCCTTGCCACACAGTGATGACAGAAGTAACACAGAAATTCCCTGCGCTATGAGCAATAGGTAGTTGAAGGTTACTGTATAAATATTGAATTTTTTAAAAGGATCTCCGTGTGCATTTGCACATGCATACATGTCATAATAACCACACAGCTTCCCCTACAAGTCAGACAAAAAAATAAATAAAAGTGCAAGAAGGTCATGCTTCTGTTCCAGTTCCAATGACCTGAGATGACTATGCTTATGGCATACAAATTGCTTCTCTGAGAGAAAAGAGAGTGACAATTAGCAAGGCCCTACATCTACATTTTTGAAAATTTCTGGGGATGAGTCAGATTCATTCTAGTGAACAGTGTCATTTGGTCACTGCCTACAAACAGATTCACAGTATGCATCCAATAATTAGAGAGTCTCATCACAGAATCACAGAATTTCTAGGTTGGAAGAGACCTCAAGATCATCGAGTCCAACCTCTAACCTAACACTAACAGTCCCCACTAAACCATATCCCTAAGCTCTACAACCATATCCCTAAGCTCTACAAGCTTCCTAAGCATCAGTTGCAGTTACAGTACTAGAACTGTTTGCATGGCTGTAGGGATGGAGCACCTTGCAATTCAAAACACAAAATTTGTTTAGAGACAGTCATGTGTAAAAGGAGCCTTAAGTCTTAACTAACTGACTTGGAAAGTTTCAAGCACATTATGGCAATGAAAATGCAGTAAATGACAAATGCTTAGGGCCTATCTCTCTGCTGTTATTTTAAGGAGAACTCTCCAAAGAGTTCATTCAAGAACCTACTGCAAAATTTATGGCACAATTGAAAAAAATGCCCCTAAAACAGCTACAAAAAGCAGACCCCCAAATAGCTTTGGGAAGGCTCAGAACCAGAAAAGGAAGTAAAAAATCTTTTTAACAAGTGGTTTGTTGTGGAACATCTGCACTATACCTTTTTGAGTGACTTTTTGTGAGACTGATTGGAAAGAGGCAGTTTGAGATAAATGGGAAATATTTGTTCAGGGGAATGAAGGGAGAGGAAAAGCAAATGCTGATGGATTTGTCTCTGAAAAAAAAAATAAAGAAGAAGATTTCAAGGTGACTTAGAGAAACAGTTCAAAATGATAAAGGACTTGGTTAAAGCTGAAGATAAACAATGTACACCAATGAGGAGTTCAAAACATGGCTTTACAATGGTGTCTGAATGAATTTTGCGTTATTTGGGCTTCAGCTAGGGAAGCGCACTTCTTGACAGCAGGAGTGCTTATCAGTAATTAATTTGTAGGTTTAAGGGTGCGACCTACCTAGAAAGTCTTTGCTGTTTTTTAATGAAAAAGTTGTAGTTTGGAACGCAGATGAAGGAACAAAGGTTTTTTATTTATTTGTTTAAATGATGGCCTTGAACAGAGAAATTAAACACAGTATGTAGAAAGATTCTGCACACATGTGAATGGATCTTGAATGTGTCTGTGCTGATTTAGGAATGGGCAAGCTGGCTTGGATTAAATAGAAAAAAAATCTCTCTTTATAATGTTCATGGGAAAACTAAAAAGGTATTTAACAGCCTGGAATATATTTCACTTCTGTGCTTTTGTCTTCTAGTTATCACAATTAATTCAGTAGTGAAAACTCTTCTTACCTGGTAATAGTCTTGAAGAAATTTTGGACAGAACAAGGAAGACCCAAAACCTAGTAAGCTAATTTTTTCGTTGTGAAACTTCAATTGTTTGCAAAGTGGTAAACTTAAACATTGTTATAGTAGCCTCTGGCAACATTACAGGGACTTGGAAGATTGATGTCTTCAGTACATTCTACAGTCCTCTTTAAACTTACCCTCCAGATACGCCTTTGGGCTGAGTGGGGAGAGTATAAGATTACCTGTATTACCAAGTATAGCAACATAACAGAAGCAAGTTCAGAAAGACAAATGGTTGGTACTGTGACCTCTGAACAGCACACATTTTCAGAGGTGGGAAGTGGGGGAAGAATTATTTTGCAGTAGCTCTAGTCTGATCTTATGAACAGAATGCTGATCAGCAGCCTTTGATGGCCTCCTGGAGCACGTCTTCTGATTTCATTTCCTCTGCAGGTGATTCAGTTTGTGCACACCAGGACAATTATGTGATGTGAAGCAAAACATCCTAAGTGGGGGTGGCCTGAAAATTCAATTCAGAAGTGCACCTTGCTCGAAACTAAAACTTTACAATAGACACCCCAGAAGTCACTCAGGAATGCAGCTGAGAAGAGGGTCCGGTATATATTTCTAGGATCAATAACTGGAACTTCTGCTTAGAGATGAGGAGCATGAGGATGTAGGAGGGAATGGATCCATGTGTGTAACATCTTAGTGGAGCAGGACAAAGCATAGTTTAACCTGAACCCCCCACTCCCTTAATTAATTCAGTCTATAGTGATTATAAAAGTGCAAAGTACAGAGGAAGAACGAAATTATCTGTTGTGCAGAGTTCTGCACATTGAAACATTAACCGTTAAAACAAAATAACTAAATCTATCACTTTTATCTGGAAAGTAATTACAGCTAGGTTTTACACTGTTTTTCTGTGCTATTGAATTTGTCAGAAGTTATTGAAGTGTTCTACAGAGCACTTGCTATGTCTAGCATTACAACAGTGGATTGAGGCTGGAGGACTGCTAACTGCATTGAGATGAACTCTAAGAAACAGCTCAACAAAATCTAACACATCAGTGCAGTATTAATCTCTATTCCAGGTAGAAAAGATGGATGGAGTAAAATGGTATGGATTTTAAGCTGTTATTCTTGAGCTTAAAATAAGAAAATTGAATGAAAATCTCACCATTTATTTGGCTGTGGATGCACATGATTTTGCACAAGGTAATGTGGTTGTTATCTACAGCTTGACTCCTCTTCCCACAGCAAAACTCTTGATCTTCTTAAGCCTCATAGAGAGGTGGATTAAGTGACTAGTCCATAACTGAAACTCCTTGGTTCTAGCTCTCAGCATATAATGGGGACTGACTCCCCCAAGATTTTCTGTTTTAATCTTACTTCCCAAGGCTTCCTGTTCAGTGGTGACTTTGATCATCTGAGTCGTGGATGCTGACAGAACTCTTTTCCAATTAGAAGTCCTCAAAATTCAACATTTTTGTAGTTGCTTATTTGTAATATAAATAAACTTGGTTGTTGTTCAGATTCTCTCTGTAAGACACTTAGAAATGTATGCTTTTCATTGAAGATGGAATCATTCTTTCTCTCCCATTTAAAAATTCCCCATGGACAGACCAGATGGTCAAGCTTCTATGGCTCTTCCTGACTTTGAAGACAGTCACCATCCTTGACCTTTTGAGGTGAGTAGTAAGGCAGGATTATATCTCAGCTGTGATTGTTGTTTGTTTTTCTCATACCAACAACACACTAATAATTAATGACTGCTCCACAGTTAGAAAGGACATACGTGCTGTAGTCAATGAATCTGATCCCACTGAACTCTCCCTTCATCTATTTATTCCTTATCACAGATTCTGTGGAGTCAGATGGACCTCTTTCTGGTCAATTGCCAGGGGTTCCCCATTTGTTTTCTATTGATGACTCATCATCAGACTTGCTCAGTCTATGAGTAAAGGGATTATTTTTCTAAATGGGAATTCAGCTTGGGCTCTGAAAGTCAAGCTGTGTTCCCTTCTGCTTCTCAAATTATCACCACTAATAAAGAATCTGCAGCAGGGGACTCAGCTGACGACTTTGTCAATGATGCATGAAGCAGGCTAGAATCTAGTTGCTCTTCCACATCTGCAGGAGAGCTACAGTATGAACTGAAGGATGATTTTTTTGTCACTAAAACAAGCAGATGGGACAGGGTGACTCAATAGAAACTGAGATATTGAAGCTATTTAAAATACCTTTATGGTGAAGCTTGGTTTCTAAATGCTCACCGCCTCATCTTGAGTGTTCTATTGTTCTACATAGCAAGAGGCATCTCCAACAGTTTTTCACTCCTATTTTTCCCCCACTTTGTAGTTGCTGTGAATGTAATTTAGGACTTCTAAATTATTCTCATACCAATGATTGCTCTTCCCTCAAGGTTTCCAGAACTTCAACAAAGATGTCTTCTTAATTCTAAAAATATGGCCGCTTCCACTGGTCCCTGAGACCTATTTGGAGAGATTTTTAATTTTACCAAACTAAAAAAAAAATAAAAAAAAATAGAGAGAGAGAGATACATTGTCCAATTGATTAATTTCTTACTTAAATTTGATATCTTTTTTTGCTTGGTGAAGTGGAAGATAAAGTATTTGTTACACAAAAAAAGGTCAAAACCTTAGCTGTCAGAAATAATCGATTCTGCAGTTAGTGTGACTAACACCATCTTGAGGAACAGTGGTAAAATATTTTGGGAACCCAGAAGTTCTTGTGAACGGACATAAGATTTTTAGGTTTTTTACCACTCAGATGGGAGGAGAATGGGAAGCTACCTGATGATTAATGTGAAAGTACTTGCTGGTTTTCATCTTACTCTTAATAAAAAAGCATATATCACCAAAAAGAAAACTGCAAAGCAGCCAACCCTGCATCACAAATGGTAGTGACTGCTGCCACACAAGGAGATGACATAGGAGAGGAAACAAACAAACAATTTAGACCGTAAAATATCATCTTCTTTGTATTAATATTGATAGTGAAATGTGTGAATATTTTAGTGATTTTTTTTTTTGTCTGTCTGTTTGCTTCTCTGTTTGTTTCATTTTTTGGTCATGCATTTTGGAAAGGTTTGATTGGTCTTTTAATCCCATGATCCATGCAACTTCTGCAAAGAAAGCAAATAACAAAAATTATTGAGATAGAGGAAAATTATTGAGATCGAGGGTACATTTACAATTTCTGCATTCTAGAATATGTGGGAAAATACAGTCCTAGAGATCGGCTTTTTTCTGACTTGGCCTTATCTAGAATGACATACTATTCTCAGAGGAGTCATCTCTGTTCTCCTGTTGCTTTCCATCTTTCCATTTTATGAAGAGATCTCTGACTGCCTTTTCCTTTATAGTCTTTAACTCTGCACATCCAGAGACAATCAAAATTGTTACTCTCTATTTGTTTTAAACTTAACACCATCTGATGAAAATCTAGAGAAGTTAATTGGCTTTTCATAGAGGCTCCTGATGGGCACTGCAGAAGAGTATGTTCTCTGAGAGCTGTATACCTCCATGGTCAAAAGGGAGCAAGTTTTGATCATTGACATTACACAAATTCAAAGGGGAAAAAAATGAATACAGGAAAATGCAGGGTAACAAATTGAAGAGTTGAGAAGAATAACATGAAAATAATTCAGAATGGTTCTTTGTTCCTATTGTCAGAGGGATGGATCTGAACTCTTCCGAAAGTCCAATGAGGGCAAATATTCAAGTCATGAAATGGCACAAGGTGGCTCTGGCTACTTTCAAGAGAAAGAGCTTTTTCTGTACTGGGAGTTGGTGGAAAGAAGGCATGTAGTGTTTATATGTGCAAAAGGATAGGTAAGATTATCTCTTTCCTTTAAACACGGAACATTCTAGGAGCATTAGGAAGAAGTTGAGTTCCACTGGGATCAGTAGGGCAGAAAGAAAAATTACCATGTTTATTTCTGGGCGCTTCCTCCAAGGCTTTGCAGGTGACAGATCCAGTGAAAGCATCCATCTCCGCTCTGTGCTCAGTAAGCAGAAAATGAAACAGAAGAGTCAGTGTGACATTGAGTGATTTCAAGCCACTTGTAAAGGCACACATTCAACCTGAGGCCTTCAGCTCAGGAGCCCTCACAACAATAGGGGCAGTTTTTAATAAAACTGCAGCCACCAGAATCCAAAGGGATCTTGAACAAGACAAACAACAAACCCAAAGCTTTCTAAAATGCATGCTGCTCATCAAGGTACAAAAGTTCCCCCAAAGCACTTTGTCAGGATTTAGTTACTATAGGTATTCTTGACTGCTCTTACCCACCTTCAAACCACCTCAGCTCAAGAAATGCCTTCCAAAAATCAGACTGCAGTAACAGATTACAAATATTTCTCTTCTTTTTTTGTCTTGATATATCTGGATTAACTGGACAATCCTTTCCCTATGTCTGTGCTTCCTCAAACACTTTGCTTAAGACTGGACAAGGGAGAGTGACTTAAATGAGCTTTACATAGCTTTGCATGATCCTGTTTCTTGGTGAAGGAGCAGTTAATTTTGTGTACAAAGTGAAAGAGCTGTAAAGGGAGACACTGACAGCGGCTGAGTGAGGGAGTCAGAGCCTCCAGTTGGCATAAAAGTGGCAGACTCAGAAAGCTTCTGTAAGAAGTCCATCCAGTGGCTGGGTCTTGTGCCTTTCAGGTGAAGGTTGTAAACTTCAGCTGGTGAGATGATTTCTCTACTCTCTTTTACTCAGAAGAGAATAAGTTTGAAAGGCAAAAATTTCAGTCTTTTTGAAAAAGGGAGTTCTTGTTTTCCAGCCTGCTCTAATTTTCAACTTTTCTTTGAGTGTGTGTGTGAGGATATGCATTCTCCTGCAAAAGAGATTAATAGCAAGTGATATCTCTGAAGAGGGGAATTTGATGGATTTTGCAGGAAATCAGAGAAAACAAGACAGAAAACAAGCTTATACAAGTGATTGCATCCTTAAGAGGGTGACCTCATGTATGTGGTCTTTCTAAGCAGTTGCTAAGTATGTGTATCACAAACTAGTACAGTATAAAGTAAATAGAGAGCATAACTTAGTTGATGTTGCACTACCAATGTATTCTGTAGTTTCTCTCTCTGAATTCCTTCCAAAAAGGTGTTTAAAGGGAACCAGGAATGCAATGTAATTTGATATTATGGTCTATCTAATAAGCAGTCAAAGCCTTCAATAAATCTAATTTTAAGGTATGCAAATGTACTGAGAGACTTTGTCCTTAGTGCATCCATTCCTCAGGAAACAATGCCAATGGGCTCTTCTGAGGGACAAACCCTCATGGCTGGGATACTGAAAAGTCACATTGTCCAAAAAATCTTGTCATCTTTTGGATGTTATTTCTCAAGCAAAGACAGGGTGAGAAGGTAGAGCAGGACAGTACAAATTTGTGCAGCTTCTTGTAGTATATCTATTGACTTTTTTAAGAAACTCATTTTGCTCATCTAAACCATGAGCCTTTTAGTAAATCTTTTAAGGAGGGGTTCTTCCCTTACAAATTTAGGAAAAGCTGACTGTCCAGTCTAAGCATATCATCACAGTTTCCTCTGTGACCAGTAGAGAGAGACAAGCACCTTTAAAAATCAGTTGATCCTTTCTCTCTGGTACAAATTTCTAGAGTAGGTGGGGTGGATTTTCCACACTGTTGCGTCTCTGTCCCAATTGCCAGTAGGGGGAACATAGAAGGAGAATTTGGTGGAGCAGGATACTACGCAGTCTTGTGAAAAAAAAAAAAAGAATGGAAAATTCTCTTTCAATATGCAAACCTTGTTGTATTTCATTTAGAAATTAAGGGGTTTTACTTGGTCTCTGGTCTCTAATGACTCTTTCTAACTATGTGTGTTTTGTTTTTGTTTTTCTTTTGTTTTTTGTTAAATGTTGTAGGAAATGGAACAAATTAACCTTTGAAAGAGTTAAGTTAATCAGGGAGGGAATATAATCAGAAAAGGCAGGCCTTGTATCCTACACAACAGTCATATAATGACATCCTTAGTACAGAAGGGTAAACAGTAGGTCTCTGCTTTAATTTGCTGACAGGTGCATGTAAGAGTGTATACATGTATGTAGGGAGGGATATGCAAGTAATGGAAAGGTTTAGACTAGATTATAGGACAGTGACTTACTTGAAATAAAGACTCCTATAAATTTTCTCATTATGCTCTAATCTAGAGTGTACCTCAAGGTTACCAGTGCCTTTAGCTTCCCCTTGGGTTGTGCAGAAAGTGTTCTGTACCCTGAAGAGTTATGGGGTCTTGTGTTAGTTTGCTTCAAAATTGGTCCATCTTTCAGGGAGTTCATGTGCTAGCAAGATTTGAGGAAGACAGCTCAAATAGATATAATGTAGATATAGTCTTTTTGTTTAAAAAAGTGTTTTTGTTTGTTTGTTTGTTTTTTGTTTGTCTGTTTTTCCAGCAAGTTACTGCCAAAGTTGTGATTTCTAGTGTGACTATCAAGCTAAAGTTACTATGAGACTGTAGGTGTGTTGTTTTGTTTTGTTTTCCTTTTTTTACTCTCCTCACTATTACATTATACCAATTAATTCTTTTGTATACCTAAGCCCAGTGGGTCAAATTTTCAGCCTGAAGCTGCTTAGTGTAGCTCCCTTAGACACTAGCAGTGTGGTGTTATTTTACACTACAGAGGATGTCACCTGCTATGAAAATGTGAGGACTGCCATCTCGAAGCATTTAATAATGCCTAGCAACATGCCATAACAACATATACATGTAAGCTGAAATGAAGAAAACAGCAGACCTAAATACCTAAATTGGAATTTGGGCTGGCTTATGGCAATAATATATCTTTTACCATGTGGCTATCTTGTCTTGGTATGATCATTAACAAATGATTAAGTGATCAATAGTTCCTTATGTAAGTAAAGATGACTGGTGTAATTTGTGGCTTTTAATTTCAAGTATTAGTGTATATTGCATTAACATCTATGCGCTATCTGTTCCTTTCAGCACAGCTCCAATTTCAAGTTCCAAGTATAAGAGAATGCAATTTAATATAATTGTGGTCATTTTAATTTCTTCAATAAAAGCAATCAGTGCCTATAGCTGGTTTCAGACTGTTGTGAGCAACTTGCAACTGTTACTGAATATCTGTTGAAAGGAGTCTCTCAAAACTTGCAAATGTCTTTGGAGAGCTCCTCCCCTCTCCTCATTTAGTTTTAAGGTAGAAAAGCACAGACTGTACAGAACACCTGGCAGTAAAATGAGAGGGATTGTTTAGCAGAAATCTCACGTGAGTGCAAAAAATAGTCTTTTACTGAATCAACTAAAATTGATCATGTGCTTTAAGAGCTTGATCTTTATCGTTTTGGATTTAATGGCAAAATTCTCACTCACTTCAGTAGAAGCAGCAAAATCCAAGATGAAATTGCCCTCTGGAATGATCTGGAAGAGCTGTTTCCTTCTAGTTTTAACTAAGTTATTCTTAATGACAAGAATAATGCTTTGAGCAAAAGACTGGTAATCAGGAATCCTGTATTCTGTTCCAGTGAACAGAAAGGCACATGGTCAAGTTTAAGGGCATATCTAATTGCCTTGCTGAACAGAGCAGCATTCTGTAGTTAAAATTTGTATTCTGGGCACTGTCTCTGGGCCTTTGGTATGATCAGCTAGGACACTGCCCTGGCATGTCACATACACTGTTTCCATTGGAGTCAGTTGTGTGTCATCTTGGCAACTCGTTACAGGGCCAGAGTCTTTGCAAATATCTTCATCCTTAAAACATGGATAATAACACCAAGATGATCTGGTGCAGATGGTGTGAAATTACATCATTTTGTATGGCCTGGGATGTCTGAAGATGAAGTGATACATAGATGCAAGGCTTTGTTGTAACATTGACATGTCATTTCCATATGTGAAGGACTTTTAGCTTGCTAGGACTCCAGTACTCATCTTGGATGTTGTTATTGAATTTCCATTATCTGTTTGATCAAGTGTTAAGAACTTTCTAAATGAGTCCCAAGTCCCTTCTTGTCAAGGTGGAGGAGAGCTGGAGATTGTTCCAGTGTGATGTTTTACCAGCAGCAATTTCGCAAAGTGTGTAGCAGTCTCCATCTAAAACTGAGGAATAATGATACATGGAGAGGATGATGATTAGTAGAGGAATATTTATGCACCTTAAAGTAAGATGAAAAGCTGGAGCAATCTGTAGACCTCTTGAATTTGCCAAGGTGTTGTAGCCTTGTTCACATTGCTTTTGCTTCCTCAGTTTGAAATCTGGTTTCAGTCAACTAGTTTCTTCCAAAGAGCAGTAATAGTTCCCACTTTGAAGGAATGCCTTAATTCTGCACACTTTGCTGTTGAAATATAGCACAACTTATAAGCTTCCTCAAAACAGCAGAAGTCCTGATTTATACCATCCTGATTCTGATCTCAACCTTTTTGGAAGTTTGTAGGCATGTAATTCGAGGTAAACAGAGCATTAGACTCCTTTATTTGTAGCTTGGATTTCTTGCATAAGGTGCTGGACTATGCTTGAAGTGCTCTGTCCGTTCCTTCTACCTAAACACAGTGCTCCTCTTGTATGTTTTCTCCTTTGTCCATCATGGTTCTCACATGGTCCTTGAGTGAGAGCTGGTGGTAGAGGGGAATCCTTGGGTAGTTGCTGTACTGACTTCCCACTAAGATGTCCAGACAGTTTTCACTGGCTCTGATTCTGACCTTACATTGTAATAATGAAGCAGAGGCCCAAATCATAAAGGAAAGTTATAGCATGAGTCTACAACTGGAGCCTGAGGTATCTCTTCTGTTACGATCCTTTAGCTTCAGCAAGGCTCATATATCACCCCAAGGGTTTAACTTGGGGCACCAGAATTTGAAAAAAAAAAATGCCCAGAATCAATTTATGAAAAATGAGTCTAGAATGTGGAACAGTACCTTAGTTTTTGGTTTAGCAATGAGCTTGGAGAGCAGCCACAGGTCTGGAATGATCCTGATTTTGAAAGCAAGCAGATTCAGATCTGGATCCAAACTCTAGGGCCTGGATGCATCATGACATTACACCTGCCTGGTTGACCAGTGGAACAGGAGCTGAACAAAGTTAATAAACTCCCTTATTTATTTTTCGGTACTATCGCCACATTTAATTTCGTTTCACTGTTTGCATTTACAACACATTTGAAAGTCTGGCATTTTACAAGAGTATAATAAGAGTTGTAATTAGAACATGCTGGAAGCATCCAAGCCAAAGTAAACAGTTACTTTTTTATTATTATTTTTTGAAAGCAGAAGCTTGTCAAGTTCAACAGAGAAATTTTCTTCATCATTGTTTATTACAACAGTTATGAAAAAGAGCTAGCAAAAAAAAAAAAAAAAGAAAAAAGGAAAAAAAAGACACTTGTGGCTTCCTTTCTAAAACTGATTTAGCAGGTTGAGAGAGATCAAACTTGAAGGGATGCTATTATCTTAACCCCCCCCCTCCATTGGAAAAAAAAAAATCACATATGTCTAAAGTGCAAACAAAAACATTAAAATGAGATGATTGCAAATTAGGCTCTGTTCATGTAAGAGAAACTGCCTGGTTGTGATTCCATGGCTCTTCTATCAGAAATGGGGCCTTGGGCAGTAACAGCTGTACTGCTTGGGTGCTCACATCCCGGAGCAGTGGGATACAATCAGGGGGATTGTATCCCAAACATGGGATACAGGTGGGTGAGTTATACTTGACAAAGGCACTAGTCTAATAGATGGAGAAGTTCTCAGAATGTTGAATCATGTTGCTAAGTGCTAACATCTAACAAGAAAGCTTATGGCCCTGCACTTCTGCAAACATTAATACAGGCTGTTGTTAGCCAAGGGAGATACTTTGTGAGGCTCATTACTTTAATTGGTCCCTGACATCTAGTTAAAAGAGAAAGAAGAACCACTCCTGACAAAAAATTAAAAATTAAAAAAAAAATAAAAAAAAATCTCTTAGAAAGTGGTATCTTGTTGCTGTGGCTCTTCAGCTGTCTGGCATGCTCTCAGGTGGAGTTAATGCATCCTTCACAACCTCATGCTCCTCTGGCAAACGGCACTGACAGGAAACAATACCCTGGCACAAGTATTTGACTAAAGCACTGCAATTATAACTAGCTAGGATCTGTGTATACCACAGCCTCTATCGCACAGGCTGGAGTGCTGCCAGCCTGAATGCTACAGGCCTTGTCACTACAGGTAGCCAAGGGCTGTTCTCCTGAGGAAGAGCCCTGCCCGTACCTATGGAGCAGCGGGGCTGAGCAAGGCATTGCCTGGAGTCAACCAAAGCGCAGGGAATTTTTCCAGTTCTCCCTGTTGGTTCTGCCTTCTTTATCTAGCTCCTGTCTTCTCGTGGATTTCAAACTTTCAAGGCTAAGGGGCTCACAAAGCTGCTAATTTCTAAAATCACTGTAAGCACAGTTAGGTGGTAATGAAATTTCAGCAGGGGCCATTCCTGGAGACTGGTGTATAAGCAGGAATAAGTCATGGACCTCTGTTTCCTTATCTGTGAAGTGGAGCTAATATTTACTTAGGGAAATGCCTGTTGTGATGCAAATCTGTATGTCAGGAGACCCTTGTAGGAGGTAAAGGCACTGTGCAGGTGATTACTGTTGTCAGATCTCCAGGATTCAAGCTGTGACACCAGGTGGATGCATGTACCAGGTGGAGCACATAGCAGTGCTGGTCTAGGCTAGTCCCTTCTGAACCCAGATAACAGAAGCTCAGTTGCATTGTTAAGATTCGTGCATATCTATTCCTGCAAGTGTGTTGGTTTCTCATTCACAGCCTTGGCTGCTGCAGAATTTTACTGAAATTTCCTTCTGTTGCAGAGTCTAACTTGAGTCTATTAAGACAAAGTTTGTATTCTGCTTTCTAGATCATTTAAAACCTGTGGCAAAATTAATGATATTGTTTTGGTTAATTGTCCTCATCCAGGAAACATTGGCAGCTCCCCTGGGTCACTGCAGCAATTTCTTTTATGCTGTAAAACACTTTCTTCCCTAAAGTGAAAACGCGTAGGCTGTCATTATATGACTCTCCGGTTCCATACTGATAGAGCCTACCTGTGCATTTAAAAAAAAAAAAAAAAAAAAAAAAGTAAGAAACTGTAATACCTATGGAAACACTTTCAGAAACTTATTCCTATACTTATTCCTATATTTTTTTCAACGTTGTTTTTGATGTGATGTTACAAGATTGATAACAACATTTTTTTCTTCGTGAATCATGCTCCCAGACTGTGCTGGTTAGCCTCCCCTTTTCCACTGAAGAAGTCAGCCAAGCTAAGTCTTTATTTTTGATTCATGCAGGTTCTAAGGTCAGTTCTGGTGGGTATGATTTGCTAATGAATTCATGCTCCATTTCTCAGCTGGCTGGTTCTGCAAGTAGGCCTGAACAAATACACTGACATTTGAATTTAAAGGGACATTCAGGGCCTTAGTCAAGAAATATTTGAGACTAGATTTAGAAGTCTGTACAGTGCAAATGAAATATGAAGTAGAATAAATAAATATACAAATAGTAAGAACATTTATACATACATGTGTACGTATGTATACATGCACATAAATATTTTTTATATATTACAAATTTTGTAAAATTTCATTTGTCACAATCACTCTGAACACACCAATGTACTCCAAAGAAACAAGAAAACTGAAGCACAAGGAAGACAATGGAGAAGCATCATGTGGCCAGTGGCATTTCCACTGCCTTCATTACCAATGCCATGGCAAATGCTGCCACAGAGGAAAGAGAGAGACATGGAGCCAGTATTTCATGCTATTCCCTAGGTGTACAGAGAGGATGGGATGGAGCATGAGCAGAACTGAGTATGCTGCCCCCCCTGGAGGCACCAGCCACACAGGCTGGGTTATAGCCAAGTGACATCTAGTCTGCCTAGACTTTTCTACTCTTGAGATAGGGAAAGACCAGAGTTTGAATCCTTGGTTGCAGCATCCTTTATTTCAGCACAATTATGCCTGAAAATTAGAAGGGTCTGGAGGGAGCTCTGCCAGCCCTCTGTTTTTTACATATTTTGTCTGAGCATCAGAAAAATCAGAGAAAGGTTTTATTTTGTTTAGAAAAGGTCAGTTCAATAGACAGGGCGAGGGCTAGGGGCTAAGGCACCACCAGGGACTTGAACGTTGGCTTCTTTTTCCAGTTTTGTTTTATAATTCCTGTGTGAATTTACTCAAGTTATTTCATCTACCTATGTACCTATGTCACCATCCACCCGCCTGTGAAAAGCAAGGGGAAATACCTTTTTTTGGTTTTTTTTTTTGTTTGTTTGTTTGTTTTATTTACCCCTACTCATGAAAAAAAGCTCTCATTATTTATTTTGGCAATTGGGTTGCCATCCTTAGATAAATTTTGGTCTTCCACAGGGATAATTAAAAATTATTCATGAACTAGTAACTTTTCATGTTATTAAATTATAAAATTATTCATGAACTACTAGCAGTATTGTGTGATCCTCAGTGTGGAAAAGGCTCTGAGAGGTGGAAGGAAAATAGGGATCTCTATGGGGAAACTCCAAACTTCCCCTCAGAATCCTGAGTGGTTCTAACCAGTAGATGATTTCATAATTCATCTAGCTTTACCAACATTATTGGCTCCCCCAAAATGCAACATATAATTTCATCTTAATGGTGACAAGGTGGTGTCTCACTGGAGAGTTGGCTTCAGTTCACTCCTCGATCAGAGGACATTCAAAACTACATTTGCCACCACCCAGGAAAACATCCCAAATACCATGTATGAGTGAGAGGTACTCTCCATCTCTAGTGTTTACTGGGACTGGAAGAGTGATAGGGTGAAAGACAGAGAAAAAGGAATGTAATACTATATTTGAGAAATGGGACATGAGTAGAAGGTATCAGTGTTTACCCTATAGGATACTTGTATATTTTACATTAAATGCAAAGTGAATATATGCTGCTGTCACCACCTCCACTGTCACATAATTCACCCTTTTCTTTTTACTAGGCTTTCAAAGAAAAGAAAGATAGAGCCCCAAATGGTTTTTGAGGAAGAAAACTACTCACTTGAGGAACATGCTCCAACTAGCCAGTCCCTCTTTGCTACTGGTGCGTAGTGCCATGACAAGGAAGGATCCCGTTTTATTTAGACTAAAGCTTCTAGTGCCCCAAGCAGAGATAGGCTGTAAAAATCTGGCACCTAAAATGTAGATATTGTTGTCTCTAAATTCTAGCCACCAAGGTCAACTACAAACTCTTAATCCATACCATTGGAATAGACATAAAAATCTGTGTTGTCTAGAAAATCTCTGATATAAAACTACCTTGGTTGTTTACCGCATCCCACTTTAGTTATTTATCTTATATATGAACACCTGACCTGAATTTCATGGAACAACTGGTAATTCATTTTCTTTGCAATAATCTGCATATAAATACTATATATATACTATATACTATATAATACTATATATTATAGTATATAAGTAGTATATAATAGTATATATAATAATATATATATAGCATATATATAGTATTTAATACTATATGTATAGTATATAGTATATATACTATAAAGACATGCAAAATCTTAATTTCAGTTTCTCTAAAATCACAGTTCTCAGTATAGATACATTAATGAATTCCAGCAGAGCATGTGATAAACTTAAGAAATGAGAAGTCCTTTACAGTGCTACATTTCTGCTATCACTCAACAGCTAATTCTATTTTTAATGATCTTGCCAAGATGTTCAAACTACATTAATTGTGTCAGATGCGTTGATCAGTATTTAAACTGTTTTCTCTCTGTCAAAAAGGTTGCCATTTTAGCTGCCCCAGTGTAAAATTGCAGAGGAGTTTGTGTGTGGTAGTAAGACACTAATCTTATCTGGTCATTCAATATAGATTCAGATATCTGTGCCTGAGGTTAGTATAATGACACACTTGGATTATGAAGGACTACTTCATAATGTTGCTTGGATTTTAAAGGACTACTGTGCCAAAGGAAAAAACAAACAAACAAACTATATACGGGGAGAGATTAATGTCAAAACTTCTTTTCATTTAGTGGATAATGTCTTGAGGAGAGGGGTCTTAGGTTCAGATTAAGGATAATTGCAATTAATTGAACGTAATTTAGAGAGCAAAGTCTTTTAGGAATGACGGTCAGTTAATGAGTAATCCAATACGTCTGGCAGAGAGGCTGTTCACTGCAGAACAATTAATTTGATATTTCAGTGTCATTTATCTCTGCTTTCTCAAAGCAAAGTGAATGCAGAACCTCAATGACACCCAATGTCAGGAAACAAGAAAGTGCAGGGTTTTTTTGATGATTTTACCATGCTCTGATTGGCTTCTTGAGGCAATTACTCTCAAGGTTTTATTTGCATACCTGCTGGCATTTAACCACAAGACCAAACCTCTTACAAATAGTGTTCAAACAAGCTTGTTGCCAAACTGAAAAGGTACTTTTAAGCATAGAAATTGTGTATGCATTAATTATTCTGTTTAGCAAGTGCTCATTAACAATAGCCTGGGTGAAATTTTCCCCGATGCAGCTGCATTCAAGGTAAAGAGAGAAAACCTACTGAAGTTAAAACTGATTTTCTTTTCTTTATGTGGGATCAGTTTTTACTCAGATTCTCTCACTGATCCAGCTTTCTCTGTGGCAGCTTAAGCAGTCTTGCCAACACATGGGAAATGCTGGAAGTGAGGAAAAAAGGCAAGGCATGGTGTCACTCCTTTCTGTAGTATTGCCATCCTTGTGTTTGCCATCCTTCTCTGTATACAAAATGAAGGTGGTCCAGCCCAGCAGAGTCTAGGCTTGATGACAAGGACTGTATTATTTTTTATGAGAACAAAAAGTTGAACCTGGGCTTCCTACAGCACACTGGACTAGAGAGCAAGAAAATTAAGTGAAACTGCAGAGAGTATGAGGTGACATAGACCTGTTCACTGTGAAGCTGTATCTTTCTTTACAGACAATGTTATAAGCTATCAATAGAAGTTGACTGGGATAAACACTTGAAATAGCCACTAAATAGAAGGCTGGCAGCAATCAGCCGGCTTTGTTAAAAAATAATAGCTTTCTGACTTGCAAGTAGAAGGTGGGTTACTTATTAAAGTATCAAATTTAAGAAAAATTACGGGAAATAAAAAGTGAGATAGAATTACAAAGCCATAAAAATAGCAGCTTAAGCAGTCATTTCTCTAGGGTTCCAACTCTACTGCAAAGAGTACATATCCAAGGAAATCTAGACTGTCTCTCTAAAGGAGGTAGTTATCCAAAGCTCACCCAGAACAGAGCCTCTTAGTAATCTGACAAAACATAATCAGAGAGGAAACAGAATAACCCATCAGAAATCAGCTGGTTTCCTGCCTCTTTTTCCTTCCCTGTCATGCTGGCCCTCAGGACACATTAAAGACTGATGAACAAGATTTCTGGGAGAGTTGAGAGCATGCAGCCTTGGCAAGAAAACCAAGCATACAAACTTTTGTTTTAGCTCAAGAGCAACGAGATGCTGAGATGTACTATTAACATCTGACTTTCAGGCTGCATGTCACTCTTCTCCAAGTGGACTATTCTTCCATTTGGTATACAGGAATCAGGACATAGCATATTTTGCACATCCCAAAAGCATTTCTTTTCCTAGTGTTGCATCCCTCAAAGGTATCGTGACTATTCCCAGTCAGAAGATCATTTACAGCCCTTTGATAAGAGCCTATAATTTTCTTTGGAGAGCTTACAGCACCACTCAAATGATTGCAGCTCTTTACACATTTACAGGTATCCTTTTTTTTTTTTTTTTTTTTTTTTAATGTTTGCTTTCCAGAAAGTACATTTAAGAAACTTTTATTTGATAATTATTTTACTAACAATCCCAATTAAAAAGGAAAAAAAAAAGTGCCTTTTCCTCTTATACTAGTCAAAACACCATATTATTTAAATTTTGTTTTGTTTTTGTTAAGAAAGAAGAAAAACATATTTTGTGCTGGGGGCTAGTGTTAATTAGTATTCAACAAACTCCACTTATTGGACTTTGTCACTAAGCTGAAATATAGATGATCTGCTGTAATACATGTATAAACTAGTATTAATGTCAATTCTGTACAAACAGTAAAGCTAGACAAGAAATACTCTAAAGATAAATTAATTAATGTTGATGATCTATTTCAGTGTCACAGTACTGTGAGATGTCTTTCTGCATACTGCCAGAAAGTTCTGCCCTGGGCTAGAAATTCAGTTTGAAATGATGGGTCAAGGATCATTTACCACCTGTACAGACCTGTCTGGATGCACTCCTCTTTCTACTCAAATCTCCTTTTAGACACTATCCAAGGCCCATGAATCATGAAGATTTTATATTCATTTATATTAGATTTTGGGGCACCTTACATTCTCAATGGGTCCTGAAGCGTATGACCTACTTCAATGGAAAGTTTCTGTATCCTGCTGAACTGTTTTTATAGGATAGTCTTGCACACAGGCTGATTGGAAAGTAAATTTGTGTAGGTTGGGCATGTTCCTGCTGTATTCTGGTAGAAGGTTGCATTACAATTTCAAATTAGGTTTCACTGAGTTTACAGACCCTCATCTCATTGTGAAACCTCACAAATTATGGCCTGTTTTGCCCCAGCACAGAAGAAGATAGGGTACAATCAGGACTGCAGCAACATGAGATCTGTGAGAATTCTACAGGGCATAATCCACTGGAGATTTAAGAGTATAAACCGTGGAGGCTGGTGGAGGCAGGAGGAGAAGGAGCAATGTGAGAGGGGAGAATTAGGATCCGGTCTCCTGTTTGGTAAGTACAGGTGTCAGGTACCTTTGAGGTCCCAGCCTGGGGAAATGTCCTGGTTTTAGGTGGCCAGTGTGGGGGAGTGTCACCAGAATAGGAGACATGAGCTCTGTTGGCCGCCACAAACATAAACTTTTCTATATTCAAGTTAGTATATACCAAATGCTTTTTTAGCAAAGAGATAAAATAATGGGGAAAAAGTCACAGGAAAACCTACCTGAAGATGAAAGTGTTTTGTTTGGTTTTCTTTCCTTTTCTTTTAGACTGGAGACCTGCAGGAATCCAGAGACAACATTAAACTTCCTTTTAGAAAAGGTAATTGAAAAGAAAAAGACAATCAAGGGATGAACAGGCAAAGACTTTTTTTTTTTTTTTTTTTTTTTTTTTACTTCTGTATGAATAAAAAATGCTATTAATAAGCTCTTTCATTTCAGGCTTCTACTCCACAGTCACATTGTGAATGTACAACCACACAGATGAAGGTTGTTACCTTATATGTCCTTCACTGCTCTACAGATGTTTTTGAAAATAGAGAAGGAAACCACAGAAGGCTGGACACAGTGATAGGGGACAGTGGAGATATAGATAATCAAAAACCCTTAAAAGTGTCTCTTTTCCTTCTGAATTTTCAGTGTTCATATTCCATAACCAATTCTTAAGTAAGAATATCTAGTGTCATTCTGCTGTTTTTATTGAATGCATGTAGAGAAACCCACACAAACAAACACAGATTCACCAGGGGCCGGCAAAAACAAACCATCCAATTAGAAACCTTCTGAGATTCTGCAAAAAGGAGAATAAGTAACACCTACTGCTTGCAGGCCTTCAGACTCCCCAGGACAGGGCAGTTTACAGGGGGCAATTACAATAGCAGTCCCTTTTGGGGAAATATGAGTCTTAGAGAGGTACTTCATCGGTAGTTCTCCTTCTGTCTCTTGTTGATGGGAGACGGACTCAATTAGAGGTGCATACTCACCTGCAAGAAGTTATCTAGAAGCAAAGGACATGATCCAGGGGGCTGTGAATGCCTAAGAGCTGATGGAAAGGCAAATTAGTTCATCCGTGGTGCTGAGATCAGTAGGACATAGGAAACTAAAGGACCTAAGGACCTATTACCAATCATTTGCTGTTTGAGATACTCCGCTGAGATGTCTGGTGTAACCCTGAAGGACTGGATAACCTAATGAGTATGGAAGAAGCAGAAACATAAAAGGGAGGTATGAAAGGGAGCATGGGACCCAATATTACATATACTGTTTGTCTGTGATCAGGAAAAAAAACAAACTACACCAGGTCCTGACTATACATATGTAGGTGATTAAAAGGAAAATCTAAATTTTCATTGTTAAATATGCAACTGTAATATGAAATGAATTTTGTATAGTTGTAGCACTATTTAAAGATGTGTGTGTGGTGGCAGGGGGGTTCAAACATGATTTGTGCAATGCTCATTTAAGGAAATATTGAACTAATCTGATTTCCCCTCTTCAGTACCCTCGGTGCAGTTAAAAGGAGGTGTTTGAGTGTGTGGCATTGGCTGATGTTAGAATTAAGTAAGGTTTAAGAGGGCGGCAGGGTTTCCTCAGACCCCTGCTGGTCATAGTGAGGAAACGCAAGTTCTGCAAATCCAATTGATTTAACACTACAGAGGGTTTATCGCTATTGTTAATTGTATTAACCTACAAAAGGATTGAAGGATTAATTAGAAGTAAGGACCAGGAGATGAACTGAAGATTCTCAGGGGAGACACCATTATGTATTATCCTTGAACTGTATAATTATTTGATTTCTTACTATTTTAGAGAGTAGCACACTTACCTGAATGTAACCTTAATTGCCTCTTTTATTCTAAGCTTCATATTTTTGAACAGCTTGGTAATCATATTCCAAACCTGAGCCACCTACTGCAGACCTGCAGAAACAAAAGTGGAAGAATCCTGAGTGTCCTAATTTGAGAGCAGGTTATAGCACAATATTATTAAGATCAAACTGCTTCTTGCCTCAAATCAGGAAGAAAAACACTCTTCTTTGACTTCAGTCAGGTAGGATTCATTTCCCAGTTGTACTCATGTTTTCCCTTTCGTTAAGCTTTAGTCAAAAGAGAAGTAGTGCCTGATTAAAAAGTGAGATAAATGAACTCAAGTGCTTTCTGAAGGGAAAAGTAGAACTCAGGGTGATCATTTTGATGTGTGACAGTAATACTGTACCATGTTGGGCTTGTCTTCCACACTGGTAATAGAGACCTATCCTAGTCCAGAGCACTGCCTGGCTCCCATGAAAGACTACAATATGTGCCAGCTGGTTATAACCTGCAAGGTGCCAGGGAAAGGTTTGCCATGGAAAGATCAGCTTTCCATCCCTGTCATTTGCCGTGGGCTTTTGAAAGCTTTCCTCCCAGTCTGTGGCTGCCTTTTTGTACCACTGTACCTCTAAGTAACATCCTTAGAAACTGATCATACTCCCTTTTAAAAAAGATGTGTTAAACATAAAAGTAAAAAAATCTGAGATACATATTGATAAGCTGAAAAAAGAGAAGTCAGAAAAGTACCTTGCAGGCAGTGTTAAAAAAGCAGTAGAAGAAACATTTAGATCTGTTTCTTTCATCCAAGCTCCATTGAAATGACTGAGAAACCTTTCTCATTCATGTCAATGCAAATATGTGACTGTCGTGTTTGAATATCGAACAGCTGGTATTTTTTTTCATGCCAACAAGAATCTGATGTATTTTACTACTTCTGAGAAGTACTATTTGTACTGTATAGAACAGAACAACAGGAAAATTAAATTCTGACACTAAACCTACAGGCCAGATTCCTCTATCTAGTTTATATAGGTATCTCTTGACTCTGGTTAATAGGAGAGGAAGACACTAGCTATCAAGAGCCATCTGGCCTGACAACATCGAACACCCAGTACTCTGTAAGAATCATCCAACCATCACTGGCAAGACGTATTTGTCAAGTCTGGTCTACTTCATGTTTCCTAAACATATAGCGGATGAAAAGAAGTAATGTCCAAAAGCTATGAGATTCTGTACCCTCCTTGTATTCAAGTATAACTGCACACTGAAAATTTGGATATTTGAGACCCTGAGCTAATGCTTATTTCTCCTTCCCTGATGCTGAGGTAGCATTTATGGCTCATAGGTGGTGACTATTAAGAAACATGTGGTGGAGCTCCTCTGTGAGGAGAGGCTTTTATTGCAATGCCAGATAAGCAAACAAAATTATAGGAGGTGAGAGGACAATCATGCTTCCCTTGAGGCTGTTGTAGCAGAAATGCTTCAGAGGTTGGGGGTTTGTGGGGTAGTAGGGGGCAGAGTGGGGGTGGATTCCAGACCAGTCTTTTACAAGGAACAAGCAAAGCTCTTCCCTTCCCAAGTACTGTGAGTGATCTGTGCATCTTTTGGACCCCTGGCTGTGGCAATTTCGAAAACACTGGGTACTGAGTTAGGCTATGTGCTAGTCAGACTGCTCTTTGGATGATCAGCTGGCAAGAGGCATGACCTATTTTATTTTATTTTATTTTATTTTATTTTATTTTATTTTATTTTATTTTATTTTATTTTATTTTATTTTATTTTATTTTATTTTATTTTATTTTATTTTATTTTATTTTATTTTTAATGAAAGCATATATCCAGGTAGCGTTTCTGTGTTTTTTCCTGCTTTGGCTTTTTACTTTCATAGAGTGATTTGGGGCAGATGAAATGCCACAGTGCACATGACTGAAATGTGTGAAAACTTAATTAACAGAATAATTACGCAGTAGAAATGTGATCTTCTCTCAGTGAAAATCTGGCAGAAAGCTTGAGCCCTATGGAGTATGAGTCCAAATATTTAGTCAGTGGAAAAGCCATTAGTCACAAAGAAGCTGCATCTGCTGGAAAGAGTTAATCAGGTTCCTAATTTCAAAGAACACAATATGCCTTAAAATACTTTTCTTCTGGCTTCTCAGGCATGCTATAAATGAATATGTGATTTTCTCACAGCTACCTTGGTAAATCTGCATAGCTCAATTAACTTCAGTTGATTTACATCAGTTACACCAACTGGACCTGGACAGAACCTAACAGCATCTGTACACCTAATATCCCAGCACAGTGTATGAAAATTGGGCATTATTCTGGCTCAGACATCCCTTTGCAGCCAGAATGAATAGCAGGAGGATTTGTTATTTATTAAATGAATTCCTTTTCTACGGAGTTGAATCTACACTGTCTCCCATGAATTTCTATACTGGCAGATCTTGTGTTTTTTCTACACACCAATATATTTTCTGTGAAAAATATTAAGATAATCAGACAGTCGGTGGAATTTTCTTGATATCTGGTTAGAGACACATTGCTTAATCATTTTACTTTTATCAATAAAAACATGCATCTTGCTAGAAATTGATCACCTTGCTTTTTTCTTTCTAGCTTCTAAAATTATTTTTTAAATTATTCTAGATTCTTAAATTGTTTTTGTGTCTGTTGAACAAATTTAAATGCTAGACAGTAATTTAAAAATAAACAAGTTTAGATATTAGCTGCAGTTCATTTTTTAAGTAGACTGTGGGATATAAATCTCTTTTTTTATATATTCCTCTTTCATTTTCATTTTCCTTTTCATACAGGGCAATATTTAGGCCACCGTGTTGAAGAAAATCCTGCAGTGTGATTATCTCCTCATTGAAATGCTCTCTATTGTGCTTATTTGTTTGATGTGTTTTTCTTGCACATTGTATTTCTGATGGCATCTGGGTAAAATAATCATTATATGTCACCCATACTATCTCTTTTAATCTCCAGAAGATTAAGCATGTTTATTTAAAAAACCCTTTGATAGTGTCTTCACTAACTCAGCTATTTTATAAAATTGGAAATAATGAATCAGGGAGATGCAATTTTGATAATGCCATTTACACAACTCCTACGAGGCCAGCTAGCAAAAGAACTGGAAATATATAAGTATTTGACATACATAGAGTGAGAATGGGGAAAATATTGTAATTTCATGTAGGTTATGAAGTGCTTGGAAAAATACAGTCAGCAAAATTGCAGTTCAGTTAATGAGTCACATTCTTCAGGGAACGGTGGACTCAAGAGATGAGTAACGAGATCAGGAATGGCTCTTTTCTTCTCTAGGTCACCGGTTCAAATCTAATATGGGTAGGTAGCAATTAAAAGTCACTACTATTCGAGGGCTCTTGATCTTCTGAAATGGAGCTAGTGAACTCATGGACAGTGGGGGGGGAAAAAAAAAAAAGACACAAAAATAGAATTATCAGGACTATCTGGGAAAATCACGTGCTTCAGAGCCAGTACGGTGCTCACCAGCACAGAGCAAAACTTCAAAGACTTTCTGGAGCTCAATGTGAGCTAGCTGTAAATGCTGTCATGAGACTGATTGAGGCTCTGTGGTTTGAGGTCTAATGCAGCCCATTTCACCAGTCCAGAGTTGTAGGCTGCAAGAGGGAGCTGAGAGGCCCCAGTGCCCCTGTGGGTTGGGGTGTTGAAGTTATGCTGTTGGAGGGATGCAGATGAGGACAAATGAGTGGAAAAACACATGCGGGACATCATGGGCTGGTCAGCACCACAGCAGGCTACCAATGAATACAGTCTGGAAAGACAGTCTAAATAATGTACCCTGTGAGGCTGAAGTGTACTCAGACTGTATAGGTGAACTGCTTATACCTGGCACTCAGGAATTTTCACTTCCTTTTTTTCCTCTCTGCCAGTGCAATACCAAAGAGGGATACTCCTGAGAAAGAGCCATAGGGCATATGGTCTGACTCTGCTTTCTTACAACTTTATGCTGTGAATCCAAATTCTTGAGAATTTGTATCAGACTATGGAAGGCGCTTTCACAAAGCACAGAGTTCTGTAGCAGACAAATCAAAGTGTGAAGAAATGAATCTATTTCAACCATCTGAAACTGTGATTTGGCATATAGTGAGAACAGC